AGGGGGGAGAGAAGCCTCCCCCAGGACGAGCTGTGTCGGCCCCACGGCGCCCTTGTTGCCATGGCGCCGTGTGCGGCCGCACTGCTCGCACACCCCTAAGGCCGGCCCTGATAATGGGTGCTGTACGGGTGCTGTGTGATATTGGATGGGTGCTGTGTACTATGTGATGAGTGCTGTGTGACAGGGCCGTAGCCACCATGAGGCGAGTGAGGCACTCACCTCAGGCGCAGCTGAGAGGAGGAGCAGCCAGGGCCGGCCTGGTTGTGACACTTCACCCCTGTTGCCAAGGCGAGTACAGGGCGCCATGGCAACAGGCGCCAGGCGGCCAACACATCGGCGGCTTGGCAGGGAGAAGAGGAGTGGTACAGGCTCCAGCTTCTCCTTGGATTCCTGCTGCTCTCCTCCACCTGTATGGGCAGAGGCAGTGGGGAACCGAGGAAAGATGGAGGAGGGGGACATAGTACTGTGTCCCCATTTATGAATAAACAGTAAGTGCATTACATCACTTCCTGTTCATTCATGAGTTTCTGAATAGGTGGAAGCACTTACTACAGAGATTTCTACCCATTGATAACTGGATGATGGTAAATATTTTACTATCACCAGTTTCTAAATGAATGGGAAGCCTCTGTACTGTGTGCTTTCCATTCATTCAGTGCTGAGGCTGCAGAAAAAGAATTTGAGGACTCTGTGTCCTCAATCTCTTTTTCTATTTCAAATTTCCCCGAAGCCCCCCAACAGTATAAAAAAACAAGAAACCCCCCCATACACACATACACATACTCACTCATGCACATACCGTGTTTCCCCGAAAGTAAGACCTACCCCGATAGTAAGACCTAGCGCTATCTTCAGTGATTTCTGTAATATAAGACCTACCCCGAAAATAAGACCTAGTTCGGTGGTAGGTCTTATATTGCAGAAATCCGCTAGGTCTTACTTTCGGGGTAGCTGCACATAAACTGTGTAAAGACCGGCCGCACTCTCGCCGGCCACAGCTCCCGCCCACACGCCCGATGGAACCGGCATAACATCACACCGGGACCGGCAACAGCACGCCGCCTTCTGGGACGTCCAGTCCTCCCCCAGCCAGGTAAGACATCCCCCGAAAATAAGACCTAGTGTCTTTTTTCGTGCAAAAAAGAAAATAAGACACTGTCTTATTTTCGGGGAAACACGGTATATTATTAGACATGTGCAAAGACTGAAAATTAGTTTCAGACGAAATGAACAGAAACTAAAAAATGTTTCATTAGTTTCGTCAAACGAAACAGATTTTATGCTATTTTTTTGTTTGGCCACCAGCGCATTCTGCGCATGCATGCCGGGCATCCTGGAGGCGGGGAGAGAGATGTCACATGTCTGTTGGGGGGCACAATTTTCTGTTCTTGCTTCGGTCGCAAAAGGAGCTAGCTACGGCTCTGTTGTGTGATATATGATGGTTGCTGTATAGTGCTGTATGATATATGATGGGTACTGTATGGGTGCTGTGTGATACATGATGGGTGCTGTGTGATATATGATGGGTGCTGTGTGATATATACTGTAATAGACGCTGTGTGATAAATGAAGAATGGTATGGGTGCTGGGTGATATATGAAGGGCAGTATGGGTGCTGTGTGATATGTGATGGGTGCTGTGTTATATATGAAGAATGGTATAGGTGGTATAGGTGCTGGGTGATGTATATAGGGCAGTATGGGTGCTGTGTGATATGTGATGGGTGCTGTGTTATATATGAAGAATGGTATGGGTGCTGGGTGATGTATAAAGAGCAGTATGGGTGCTGTGTGATATGTGATGGGGGCTGTGTTATATATGAAGAATGGTATTGGTGCTGGGTAATGTATGAAGGGTGCTGTATGGGTTATGTGTGATATGTGATGGGGACTGTGTGATATGTGATGGGTGCTGTGTTATATATGAAGAATGGTATGGGTGCTGTGTGATATGTGATGGGTGCTGTTTGATATATGAAGAAAGGTATGGGGGCTGATGACACTCAAATATATATCTCCACTCCACAACTCACACCCTCAGTCTCCTTGCACTAATTTACTAACTGACATATCAGTCTGGATGTCACAACACTTATTCAAGCTCAATCTTTCAAAAACTAAGCGCATGGTATTCCCTCCCCCCGTGCACCCTCCCCCAACTTTTCCCTTGAGATTAATAACACAACTATCTATCCCTCCCCCATCCCAAGGTGCTAGGCATCATCCTTGACTCGGACCTAACCTTCCTGCCCCACATCCAATCACTATCCAAATCCTGCCACTTTAACTTTCGAAACATCTCCAAAATACACCCCTTTCTCACCAATTAAACCACAAAACTACTCATCCACTCCCTTGTTATCTCTTGTCCCAACTATTGCACCTCTCTCCTCATTGGCCTACCTTTACACAGGCTATCACTCTTTCAGTCTATCATGATTACTGCTGCTAGACTCATCCACCTAACCAACCGCTCAGTGTCTGCAACCCCCCTCTGGCAATCCCTCCCCTGGCCTTTCAATCAACCTAAGGATAAAATTCAAAATATTAACTACCACTTAAAAAAGCCATCCACAACTCTGCCCCGGGCTACTTTTTCAACCTTGTCTCTAAGTATCACCTTAACCGTCCTCTCCGCTCCTCCCAAGACCTCCTGCTCTCTAGCTCCCTCGTCTACTCCTCCCATGCTCGCCTCCAGGACTTCTCTAGAGTCTCTCCCATTCTCTGGAACTCCTTACCTCAACCTGCCTTTAGGCGATCATTAAAGACTCATCTCTTCAGGGAAGCCTATCCCACCTCAACCAAACTAAAACTAACCACTGAACTATCTTTCTCAAACAATTCATCCCCACACAGCTACCTCCTCATGTATCACTTACCCCCCCCCCCCCCCCCCCCTCCTCCCCCCTTAAATTGCAAGCTCTTAGTGCCTTGAATTGTATTGTAATTGTAATGCCCTTCGTATATTGTAAAGCGATGCGCAAACTGTTGGGCACTATATAAAT